AAGGTATAGGTTCTATATCTTATTCTAGCTTACGTAATCTTATGTTTCTATCATTCTAGTCTTGTTTTGTTCGTGCCCGAAATTAGGCACGGAAAGGCACCTGAGGTTTTCTTCCACCAGTGAAACTGGAACGTCGCCATATGGCCAATACTGTGTCGGTGTGACGTAAAACCCAACCAACCAAACAACCAAAACAAACAAACAAAATAAAAACATTACCTATTTTCGAGTCCGCAATTTGTGTTTCTATTATGGACCGAAATAGCAGACTTGCTGTAAGCACACATCTATGAAATCTTTTTCTCTGAAAATTAAAGTCAACTTAATGATAAGCATATCATGGCAAATGACGTTTAGATATATTTTGAATTAAGAAAATGCATGATATGTATTTAGACTTTTGTTAACTTACCCAATCACCCATTGTGACTGTGACGTCACAAAACTCGGATTGCTCCTCAACTTGTTGAACAAGACATTCGAAATTTGACTCAGGGTCGTGTTTGTATTCTTGAACCTCCATTTCCTGTGAAAAATACATTATGTTATTCTCTTACGAAAAAAAAAAAACAACAAAAAAAACCAAACAAAACAACAACAACAACAACAACATCAAAACATTCTTTCTATGTACCAAGCGACAAAATTACGCAAAAACATGCGCATGCGTAGAAAAGGCAAATGTTACTGATCCAAAGCCAGCCTATTCACAAACCACCGAGATTGCGTAATTTCATATCATACAATGACTATTCAAAAGTGATAATTTAAATATCATTATTCATAATATATACGGACATGATAAAAGACACTAACGGCATTTGTTTTAGTAGTCGATCGTAGAAGTTGAAATAATATAATACGACTATACCACTCCATTGTTCTCTATCAATTACTGTAACTCTGTAAAACTGTAAACAAACATTTAATAAATGTCAACTCCTCCTTGGCATTTGTAGTTCACCATATAAAAATGTATTTAAAACTTAGTTTACACATTGAAAGTTGCCTCAAATTATTTCAAATTACAATGATAATAAATGCCTTTCATGTTGTATTCGAAATTGTTTAAATAATTGCACTTCAACGATTCCCTTGTTGCCTAACGAAAAGTCTTTACGCCAAATGCATTACATATTTCCGCGATTACATGTAAATAAAAATACACTTTCGGTTTATCCATTTTCGTTTTTATTACCGTTCGGTAAACAATAAAAACACTTGCGATATTGAATTGGTTTAATTACAAATTATTTCCTTATAAATCAATATATATCTTTACATAGTACATGTATAGATGATTTGTAATTCTATTAAGGATTAATTTTGTAAATTCTTACCTTCCAATAGGACTTTATACATATTACGTAGCATCTAAAAATAGCTTGGAAATTCCATGAAAGGAAGTTTTTATGTTCATGGTATGTCGTATCTATGACAAATCTAGATAACTATTCGGTTGTGATCTCATACATTGTTAATCTATAAATATCTCTAAACATAAATTAAATATTTATCACGGAAGGTCTATCTAAGTGGTTTAGTAGTAAACGTGTATGAGTTAAAGAAAATATAAAATAACAGCTTACTGGTGTAGGGATATTTAAAATGAGGAATCACTTTTAGCTGATATAATCTTTATTCTTTGAACGCCTGGATTTCTACAAGTGGATAAGGTAAAATGTAATCTTTTCATTCCTGTAATCAATATCCGTCAAATCGTACTTTACAGTTTTAAACTTTACTATTTAATAATAGAACGAATGTTATGGGATTACAACTTGTTTATCACCACCAGTTATGCATTTCACAATATTAGGTATATCTATATCATAAGTGATTTAAATCATACTATATTCGTTATCTTTGTTACTAAGTTTTGTCGCACTACGTGGCCTGGATTTTTATAAAGTTTGTAAGGTAAAATGTTGTACTTTCCTTTCTAAATAATTAATAACTAGTCATAAAAAACTTGATGTGTTTATTTTTAAAAGTACGATTACTATTATACAAACAAATCTTATCTTTATAAGCACTTGATGGTATTTTTTTTTATCGACTACCCTTTGTGACCGACTACCCGCCGTGATTTAATATTTTTTATCTATAACACAACGCCACACACATTTATTCAATTTCTATTTATTAAAAATTCTTACCCGACAAAATTGTCTATATATCTTATTTTGTTTGTATATAAATTTAACTTTAAACAACTTTAAGTTTTTTTTCTTCTTCGCCAGTTTTTTTTCAAGCACTTTTGGATTCTGAACGTCTTCTAGAATAATCTTTTTGTTTTTCTTCCACTTAAAAACCCTTTTATTCGGAATTTGCGTGCGAACGCTGGGAACTTAAAGATAAAAAATATAAAATTCACGGGGGTTTTGGTGGGGTTACAAAAGGGAAATTTTTTAGATAAAAAAAAATTTTTTTGCGATCAAATTTCCTTTGTTTTAAAACTAAATTTTTAAAATTTCCTAACTTTTTTTAAACCAATTTTTAAACTTTTTTTTTGTTTTTAGAAATTTTTTAATTTTAAGGAAATTTTATAAATTTTTTTGGGAAAATTTTTTTAAATTTTTTTTGAAATTTTTAAATATTTTTAATAATCTTTTTCAAAGTTTTAGCGCCCTTAAAATATGCATACAATATTACAATAACAAAACAACAACAACAATTAGAATAACATACTATTATGTTACAATTTCAGCCATGTTTGGACAACTTGATTACAGGGACAGAAGGAATAGCGGATTAAGACCTGGCTCCAAATTTAGATATCTCGTCGAACAAGTTCATGAACAATCTCCGTTGTGTGACTTTACAGTGAAAGTTAAATCATGGGTAAGAAAATTATTCATAGTCAATTTATAAATCGTTTCAATTCCGTCATAAATTGATGCAAGTTTTAAGTCTTGATTTAAGCGTTTGATTCTCAGCGTTTGTTTTATTACCTGATTTGAAAATTTTCATTCAAAATAATATCTCTTAAAATTGTTGAAAATAACAATAAGTAAATAGTCTTAAAACAAGAAAATCAAGTTTTAAAGCCATCACGAATACTGTCCATTGGCTTCTGGGACTCGATTAGACGTATGCTAATTAATTAATTTATTTTAATGCACTGATATAGAATGATTTACAGTGAAACCTGATGTTAATAAAATATTACTCCGAAGTAGGCTAATACACATAAGAACAATTAATTGTTCAAATAAAAAATTGAGATGTCGCTTAATTCAAAATATCCCCATTTCATGTTAAATAATGACCTTTACTTAAGCAAGTGCTAGGAGTCGTTGACGGTAACTTGCCCTATTAAGTACCGCCCATAAACAGGCTTAACCAAACGGAACCTTAGCGTTTTTGATTTCGCTGTTTTGGACGTTCCTAAGGAATTCGTTATTTTTCTTTGTTTGGCTTTATTATAGCCCATAATGTCTTTCATATATTCTTCAGACAAAACGATTTCATCGATGCGTGCTTGTCTCATGTCCTTTTTTTGATAGAGCGATGAGAGGAAATTTTACAGAAAAGCGAACAGGTAAACAACTCTTATTTGTATTGAGTATAACAGTCATTTCGTCTTGATTTTAGAAACCAATGTATTCTTTAATATCGCAGATCTATTTAAATTGAAACATAAATAATATAAGGTTACCTAAATAATACTAAATGAGTTTTACATACTTAAATTTAAGTAAATCAAACGAAATTAAGTATACAAATCTAAGTGCATTTTCTGAGTTTAGTGTAATACAATTTTTTATTGTTGTTATCATGAAAGGGGTATAAGACATGTTGCTCATCACACATGTCGAGTGCAACATTATTTTGTATTTCCGATTACACCCTGATACATTTATTGTAGGACTGGTGGATGTAAGTGTTGGTACCCCAGATTCAGTTGAGATGGCAATCATGTACCTATATGGCGTTGTGCCAGATATAAGCATAGACAATGTAAAGCTTCTTCTTCAACAAGCAGAATACTTTATGATTGAAGGTCTTAAAACTACTTGCATCAATTGGCTTCGTGATTTTGAAATTACGGAAAAAACTTACATTTATGTACTGAAACTCGCTTCGGTGTACAATTTCGAAGTTCCAAATGGTATGGCTTACATAGAAAGCCATCTGCCCGAAGTTTTCAAAACCGAAGATGCACTGTATTTTTCAAGGGAATTAATCCAAAAGCTATTTACTGACGAACGACTCTCTTATGTATCAATGGACGAACGTTTATCGTTTTTAATGCACTGGGTCAAAATTAACTCGTATGAGACAAAAGCAAATGTTAAGGAACTATTTGACACAATTGATTTACAAGATATTACCGACTCTCTTTTGCGTGAAGCTTCTTGTGTTGGCATATTGAATGAGAATATGTTTTCAAGCGATGTGGAAAGCACATTACATGGAGGTGAATGTAAATGTGATGTTTTGATCATGACCGGTGAGAAAGGTTCCCTCTTGTGCTTTAATCCTCAAAACGACACGTGGTATAAACTGATTCCTGAAAACAGCAACGACATTCTTTATAGAAATATTTCTGGCATACGGAACACAAAACCTGAGCTTTATTTTACTAAAGGGGAAGGTCACATGATGCCAATGGTAACAACCTTGAATATAATAACTAACGAAATAAACACATACAAGTTTACGCTGAAAGACGAGGACATATCTAGGGAAACAATAACAAATGTATGCCTAGCAGATAACACCTTGCTCGTTCTCACCAGAAAACATGTTCAAATTATAGAAACACTTGCTGGTAATCAAACTAAAAATAAAAAAATTGATGCTGATTGCCCTGGTACTTCATCAAGTCACATCGATTTAGAATCATCACAAAAAAGAGTCAGAATACCGATCATTTGTGATGATGAAAGATTATACCCAGAACATTTTAGGAGCGAGGACCAGAATATAACTGTGAAGGACACGGTTAATACCGCAGTTCATGCTGGCAGTGTTACAAATGAAAATGTAGAAGTAGTACCAATATTTTATTTGCGAAACATTGACATTTCACGAGTATGTTTAAACAGCACACTTTCTACAGTGGCTTTACTTCCAAAAGACCAAAGGTCTGTGATACTGTTTGATCTTATAAGTTACAAAATGGAAACATTTTGTTTAGAGCAAGCAACTCATTATAAAATGTCTACGACAAACAAAGGATTTGTTATATATAACAACAAACGTTGTTATTGTTTGACAAATATGTACTGGTCACTACCATCTCAAAGGTACCTGATTGAGCTCTTTGAGCTTGAATCCGATGACCATAGGACAGACTACCTGTTTTGCAATGGTTTTTGGGTCAAGTTTTTAAAAATAGTATCTTATATTGATCCAAATTTAGAAATGAGCTTTATTCGCCACGAAGAACTTCTAATGAGTAAAAGCCCTACAGACTTAAAAACTTATAAACTCTTATCAAGCAATGAAATGTTTGGTGTGCAATTATCAAAGAAGAAGCTACGCTGTCACATCCATTGTCCACACTGTAAATATTCTCAGCGACAAAGCTCCTATAAGGCTTCCAGAATATATTTCAGATATACAGACCCAGACGACCAGATTTAAAATTTGATTCAGCAGTTCACGTGTTGGCGAAGCAAAATATCCTACGAATTGTCCGTCCGTTAAACACTTTTACCACATGGATGAACTAAACAAAAAGTGCTGAGAACAAACATATTTTATATTACTTCCTGGTTTGTGACCTTCTGAATTATTGATCACTCACAATTAGTCACCAGAATTCTTTGGCTTTGATATTTCAATATTTTGTAAGAATCATTTTAACGATTTGACATCCTAAGGTTTATAACGTGACCATCTAGCTATACTGCCAGGGAAGACTTTCACAAGTCCCCGACGATATTTGAAACTACAGCGGTGAAGGACAAGTGATTGGAAGTGATTTGAAGTTAGTGACATTAACCGCTCGGCCATGAAGGCACTTAGTTCTGTATAATCAAAGATATTTGTTCGTAATTATTTTAGAGATCAGCCATTATTTCTTTGTTTCTTTCATAAAAAAGAGCAGGGAAATAAAGTACCGAAAAAGTTGTTTGTAAGGTTTTTTTCAATATTAAAAACGTAGCATTCTTAAATCTTTAACTTGATTTGTGTTAAAGCAATTTCCTCAACTATGGATGCAACAATCTTTAAGCTTGAATCCGATGACAAAATACGTTTTTGCAATGGTTTATGTTTAAGTTTTACTACAAAATATGCTATAGTGATCAAAACTTAGAAATGAGATATTCTAACGAGTGAATGCCCAAATATTTGAAATGGACTAAAATATATAAGGTGATGCATAAACTCTTATCGAGCAACGGACTTTTAGTTATGCAATTATCAAAGAAAAAAGCTACTGTGTCACATCAATTGTCCGCACTGTAAATGTTTTCAGCAACAATTCCTATCCGACTTTTGGAATCAGTCAAATAAAAAGGACCCTAAGGACCAGATTTTAAATGTATCTCAACAGCTACGTAGAGTTCAGTTGCTGGAAAAGCGTAAATCCTACGAATGTCCCGTCTGTTTAACGTTTATAAAGCACTTCTACCAATTGGAGAACTAAATTTAAACATGTTAAGCAAAACATGTACTAGTATTCAGTGCCGCCGTGTTTGATGACGTTCATATGAAATTATCTATCACACACAATTAAATGTCAGAATTCCATCACTATGATATTTTGATATATGCATTTACGAATCATCTTACTTTTGATATTATCCTGTTTTTAGGTTGCTTTACTGGTGATGCATGCATTATTTCATGCACTTAGTCTAGTGTCCACGTGAGTAAAATCACCGGCCATCTGTAAGCTATCGAGGTAACTACGATACATTAAAGAATCTAAAGTCCTATGAGGTATTCGGATCAACAGCGGTGTGTGACAAGTGATTTGATGTCATTGACCTTAACCTTTGATGCCCTTAGCGCTGTATCAAGGATAATCGTTTAAAGTTATATAAAAAATAAAACTATGTACCATCATTCTTTAATCTAATGTTAACGTTTGTGCTACGTATTTCCTCAATATTTGGACGGCATCACAAATATTCTATATTTGTAGCCGATAAACGAAGACAGTTTTCAGCAACAAAACTAGTAGTCACAAATAATTACATCCTGGTATTTATCTAAGCCTGTTTAAGGAAGAGCAGGAGATAAACTCAGATGTCCACTCATAACAGATATGATTTATAATAAGACGACCGAATCAATGGCTTTTAACCTGATGATGATTAACCTGTCCGTGCTCTGTCTTTGCCCTGTCCTATTTTTGTTTTGGGTCCGCCTGGGCTCCTTGCCACTGGTTCTTGGTGCTGGGTCATATGGGGGTTGCGTTCATTGAACGCCGCCTTTCCTTGTTGATCTTGTTTATCATATGTTTTACTTCCATTAATGCTCGTAAGTCGTCATATATCGTTTTCAAAAACAGTGCCAAACTCTTTACATAGGTAATCCTAATCTTATCCTCAATTAAATAGTGAGCAGATTACGAACAAATAATACTCTAGGGATAAATGTTAACTATTAACTAACCTCAAACAAAATAAATGCAATAAATAGGTAAAATTAAGACTGTATGAGGAAAAATGACATAGACCTCATACATTGATATCGACCTGAAACTTCATAATGTATAGAGGTTTATCTAATTTAGGTACATACAATTACAAACAAGAATACTGAAGTTATTGTATTAGGACCTCATTATGAATCGGGGCTTGAAAAATCATAAAATTTAATTGATTATTGATACGTTATTGAAATTAAGGCATTCCATTCAACACAAAAGATCTGCAACATATAAACATTTACATATCTGCACACATGTTACTTTTAGTATTAATTGAGATTTGTGATGCTTAAATATTGTAAAACTTAAGCTGTGGTTCTCTGTTTATTTGATCGTATTATGAAATAATATCGTATTGAAGTACTTTTAAATATCTTGTGTACAGATATCGTGATAAAGAGAAAACTTGAAGTTATTTGCTTCCTTAACTGTACAAATATAACGTAAGCTTTTGTTACAAACAGACGTAAATGCACTGTATTTGTTTACAATCACTTTGATCTAAGAATTTGCAGTCGACCAATTATTTTTTTACTATTTATTTTGCCTGTAAACACAGTACCCAGCGCATTTTTAAATGAATATCTATGCTTTTAATTTACAAGTTCATAAAATATATATTTGTAAAGTATCTTTAATGCAGGGTTTTGTACCTTTTAATTGATAGATAATAAGATTCGACAATCCTTACAATTTACAGCACTAAGCACATCTAATATTAAACAACATCAATAGAGAAAAACATCATTTGTAAAATTCTTTAAATTTAAAGAAACAAAACTTGAAACTTTTTATGTTTCGAGAAAATGTATTTCATGAATAATTTTCCTCAGTAGTAATTATAGAAATACACGTCAAACTCCCTATATTCAGACCGATTTTATAGAGATTCCTCGTTTTCAATAACATGTGGAACAGGTAAACTAGCACCATTATTATTGAGGGCTACATTTGTGCAAAGAAACAGGTGTTTAATCTAGCTGGAGAAATTGTAAAAAGGAGGATCCAGGCAGTTGTGTTGGTCCAATGCTAGTTTGCACACACGTGTTTTGACCTTTTAACATTTTACAAGTGTATCTTCTTTTCCTTGCTGTTCCAATAATATCATTCCTCATTTCTCAATTCTGTCTCTGATATTCCACCATCAGCAATACTGAAGTAATATGTGTTCATATGTGAACAAATGTTTCTAAACTGATATTGACCACAAACGGTTCACAGAATCCACACTCTTCACAATAACAGTAGACTTCAGGACTGTTATTTTGTACGCAAGTATTCATAAAATATTTCCTGTGCATATATGTCTATCCGAAATCAGGCATTCTGTCCGTTAACAATTACCATCGATTTTACGATAATTGAATAATTCAAAGTAGTTTACCCTATCTGATATTATTAAAACAATTTGCCTATTGTTTTCATTGGTTTCTTCAATTATCATACCTTCCAAATTAATACTTTTTTAAAAGCGATAAATACTTTACATGCTTGAGGGTTTCGTTGGATATTTCTTTTATATCAATTTTGTTAAACAGAATGAGAATATTTTCCTAAGATTCACTCTGAATTTTTGTGACTCAAGCAGGAAGGAATACCATTTTTTCATCCAAAGAAACGTATATGAATTGACATCAGAGAAAAGGTATTCCAACAATTATCTTGATATGCAAATGGTATCATATTGTTAAACACCTCAGGCAGATTGCTTTCGATATTATTGCCAAGATCCCCCCAGTTTAAAGATAATTGCAAAACAAACACACAGTTATCTTTTGTAAGTTCCTAATGATGAAGAAAAAAATAATATACGTTTTTTAATATTTTAATCATAAAAATATCAACAACCTCTAAAATACCGCCAATTTTGTCAAATGTTAGGTCAGGATTTCGTCCATAAAAGAACAGAAGTGCCATTGCAACTTCATCTGGTGTGGATTGCACCTTTAGGTCAATAATTCCTAAATTAAAAAATAATACAGATGTTTTTTGTTTAGTTCTGAACCATTAAATGGAAGTTTAATTTTTGAATTTTTGGAAAGTTGAAATAAGTTACATTTTTTCATGTTAAAATTTATTATATTCTTTTTCTCCATATCATATTAAGAACAACATTCATTTTGATAACAAAAAGATAGTAAATAGTCATTTCAAATCAAGGCGTCTGTTTTTAGCTCACCTGAGCTAGCTCAGGGTGAACATTTAGGAGCAATGAATGTCCGTCGTCCGTCCACACTTGTTCGTTAACACTCTAGCGGTGACATTTTTGCCTCAATCATCATTAAACATTGTCAGGATGCTTATCTAGGTAATAGCTCGAATGAGTTTGAACATGGGCCATCTCGGATGAAAAACTAGGTCACAGGAGCTAAAAATTATAAAACCTTGTTTACACTCTAGTGGTCACATTTTTCACTCAACTATCATCAAACTTGGTCAGGATGCTTGTCTAGGTAATTGCTCGAATGAGTTTGAACATTGGTCATCTCGGATGAAAAAAAAGGCAACAGGAGCTAAAATTAGAAAAAATCTTGTTAACACTCAAATGGCTTCTGTTTTGATCCAAGTATCCTGGAAATTGGTCTGAAAGTTTGTTTTGATGATTTCTAGATGAAGTTCGAATATGGGTCACCTGTGGTCAAAAACTAGGTCCAAGATATAATATAAAACATATTTGTTCTTAGCACGTGTTGTGCATTTCATCCATATAAACGTTTTTGAAAGGTGGAACATTCGTAGAATTCTATGCTTCTCCGAAACGTGAACTCCATGGCTGCTGCTAAAATATATTTGAAATCTGCTCGAGTGATCTTTTATTAAAAAATTCTAATCATTCAAAACTCAGAACTCCTTTACTTGATATTTTGATATTTATAAGAAGCATTTGAACGATTTGACATTATCCTGCTTTAAGCTAGCGCGTTTGGTTTAAAGTCACACATACACTGTAAATTTCATGGGGCAACTATCTAGCTTTAAT